TGATCCTTTTTAAATCACTTGTTCTCTCTAGGCTGGAATACTGCTGTACACTAACATATCCATTCAAGGCAGGTGAAATCGCAGATCTAGAGAATGTACAGAGAACATTTACTGCACATATAAGTTCCCTTAAACATCTTAACTACTGGGAATACTTGGAAGCATTTGACTTGTACTCACTGAAGCGCAGGCGAGAGACATCACAATCTACACCTGGAAAATCCCAGAGGAACTGGTCCCAAATCTGCACAGAAATCACTCCCTACGAAAGCAGACTGGGCAGACTGTAAAACATACCCCCCCCCATGAAAAATTGGTTCGCTATTAGTACACTAAGAGAAAACAGTCAGTGTCCGGGGCCCAAGATTGTTCAACAGCCTCCCACCAGCCATAAGGGGAATTACCAATAGACCCCTGGTTGTCTTCTAGAGGGAGCTGGGCAGATATCTGAAGTCAGTGACCGACCAGCGGGGCCACGAGTCGTACTTTGGACTGTGTGTCCAACAGTAACAGCCTAATTGATCAGGCCCTTATCCACCGGGAGGCCTGATCATGGACTGGGCTGCGTGGACGTTGATCCCGGAACTCCAGGTATAATTATGCGCATGTCACTCATCTCTGTACAAATATTGTATAAAAAATTATTTGTCGTCGTCGTCGTCGTCGTCGTCGAGCATTTAAAGAGGCCTCCACAGTGAAAGTAGCTTTTGTTTCTCAAGACATTGTACTCCTGTTATCTTTTTTGTTCCATTCTCATATCCAGCAAACAATCATAGTGCTACATCATACTTCTCTAAAAGTATGTTTTTTTTTTTTTTAGGCAGGATGTCGGTAAAGATGAAATTGTGTGTGTGTGGGGGGGGGAGGTGGAGATATTACATAGCGAGCCATGTCGTCCCGGGGAGGGTGGCAACTACCTCTCCATAGAGCACTTTCACCACTTGTGAACACAGCAGAATTCTGAACAATCGGTGCTCTTAATAGAGCCAGCTCTACTAATCAGGAAGACTCAAGAGTACGCACTGTCCGAATCACAGTACAGTGATTCATTAATGCTAAATTTGGGGGAATGTGAACTTGTAAAGTACACTTACAAAAAGGTTTCCAGCAGGACCTGGAGCACCTGCTTCAGAAGTGGTCTCGCAAGACCATCCACCTTCAGAAGTGGTCTCGCAAGACCATCCACATCCAGTCAGCTCAGTGGATGAGCCTCGTCTCCCTCTCCACCACATAACTCCTCAGTCTATAGAATAAGGGAACACCTGTGTCCTGATACACACTCCCACTCCCCCTACATTCCAAACTCGAGTGACTATGGTCTGTGAAATGTGATTGTCTGCATAAATGAACGTATTAAAAAAAGGTTCTTTGTGGAATGTTAAGCGTGTTCTTAGAATGTTTGAAGGTTCAAAGCTGTGACGCTTTTGAAATAGGTCAAGGAAGGGTGCCCCCTCGCAGGGGTCCCCCACTCAGAGGATCGTTGGTGGGGGGTTGGTTGGTGGGGCGGAAAGGTATTTGACGTGGTGGCGGCGGCAAGGTAATTGACGTGGTTGGTGGGGGTGGGGGGGTTGTTACGTGTTGTGGATTGGTTTTTTTTTTTTTTACAACTAAATACATCAGCGTTGTGCTGTTTACCCCCTTCCTATGATAGGTAGATTTTTTTCGGGCTGTAAAAACTATTTTTTCCAGTCATTTTAAAGGGTGACTCGGAGGGCTTACAAGTGAAGGGAGGGGGCAGGGAATTTTGAGGGTTAGTGAGGGGGGAAAGGAATAAAAAAAGCTGGGGGTACTCTATTTTGATAAGAAGTAATAGTAACATTTTAGTTCTTTATGAACTTTTCTTCAGTCAAACAGAAGAGTTCGCGGAAGTAGTGGAAATGTAAGACGATTAATCATCCATCCCCCTTGAAGCTCGCTTCAACTTTGACATGTGTTTTGCTTATCAACTTGTCGGTTTGATACCATTTTATATTCACCATCTATCTTGTCATATCGTGATAATACGATTGTTCTGCGTATGGCTGACTGACTTATCAGTGTAAAGTTTGATGGATAAAACACAAACCCCAGGCAAAGGGGATAATTACCTCAAACTCCCCATTTTTCACATTTTTTGTTTGGGGCTGAAGAAGCCACTGTGGGGCTAAACGTTTCTAGAATAAAGTACCCCAAATGTTAAAAAATGTCTCATTTATTAATCATCATGAATTCCCCTCTTCATCCTGTCAGCCCCTTGAACCCGCCTCATGAATAAAGATAAAAAGTAAAAAAGTAGGAGCATGCCCCGAGGCCTCCCGGGCCCATTCTTGGGAAAAAAAAAAATGCCAACCCCATTATCAATATTCACCGAGAATAAGCTTTGATAACCCATCAACTCGGGGGATTCTAACTCAAATTCATCCCCTCTCACTCGTGTGTCTAATTTATCAACATGTCGGTTCTCTGAACCATTTATCTACAAACCTGTCAGACACTGCAACTTCTTGGGATGTGATGAATGGTTTGAAAAACCGACAAGTTGAAGATTGAGACACTTATACAGTATATGGGAATCTTTATTCAGGAAACGTTTCGCCACACAGTGGCTTCATCAGTCCAATACAAAGAGGAAGGCGTAAGGAGAGGAGGAGTATGAGGTAATCAGTCCCTCAGCCTGGAGTCGATGTGTTCAGTCCATCAGTCTTGTAGAATGTACAGCATAGGGCCGTAGACGTGGCTTATATACTGTAGTGAGGTGAGGTGAAGCAGGCGGAGGCGGGGCCATAGTGGTACCATCCACTAGTCGAAGTAGGTCTTCATCCAAAGGTTGAACACGTGTTGAAGAATTCTTTGTAACAAGATCCCATAAAGATTCCCATATGCTGCATAAGTGTCTCAATCTTCAACTTGTCGGTTTTTCAAACCATTCATCACAACCTTTGGACGAAGACCTACTTCGACTAGTGGATGGTACCACTATGACCCCGCCTCCGCCTGCTTCACCTCACCTCACTACAGTATTTAGCCACGTCTACGGCCTTATGCTGTACATTCTACAAGATTGATGGACTGAACACATCTACTCCATGAACATCAAAATGGTATACAATACCGACAGGTTGTTAGGTAAGACACATATGCAACAGTTAGACAACTTTATTCCGAAACGTTTCGCCTACACAGTAGGCTTCTTCAGTCGAATACAGAAAGTAGGCAGGAACAGTAGAGATGTGAAGACGATGTAATCAGTCCATCACCCTCAAATTCTACGACTTTAAGGGTGATGGACTGATTACATCGTCTTCACATCTCTACTGTTCCTGCCTACTTTCTGTATTCGACTGAAGAAGCCTACTGTGTAGGCGAAACGTTTCGGAATAAAGTTGTCTAACTGTTGCATATGTGTCTTACCTAACACACATCTACTCCAGGCTGAGGGACTGATTACCTCATACTCCTCCTCTCCTTACGCCTTCCTCTTTGTATTGGACTGATGAAGCCACTGTGTGGCGAAACGTTTCCTGAATAAAGATTCCCATATGCTGCATAAGTGTCTCAATCTTCAACTTCTTTGGATCTTAATACTTAGGAATTCTTCGCTTGCCTAATTCTTGGGCACGACCTACTTCCACATTGAACAAATGTAACACCACCTATGACTGCTGCACCTCTCCTGCCATACGGTTTATAAGCTGCTTCTCCGCTCATATACCGTATTCTATTCAAGATTGATGGACTGAACACATCGACTCAAGGTTGAGGGACGGATTACCTCATTCTCCTCCTGTTCTTCAAGTTTCTCCTACGTATGGACTGATGAAGCCACTGTATGGCGAAACGTTTCCTCAATAAAGATACCCAAGAGTTGCACATGTGTCTAATTTATCATCATTATCTAACCTATATTTGAAGCTGCCCAAGGTTTTAGCTTCAGTAACATTACTAGTCAGACTTCCACTCGACTATATTTCCAAATCAATACTTTCCTATATCCTTTCTAAATCTAAACTTTATCCAATTTGACTCCATTATTTCGAGTTCTTTCTTGAAGGGATATCCCCATTACCTTGTTTATATCTCCCTTGTTTATGCCCATCTTCCACTTATACACTTCAGTCATGTCTCCCCCGATTCTGCGTCTTACAAGAGAATGTAGGTTAAGTGATTTGAATCTTTTTTCGTCATAAAGACCTCCGTGACATGCTGCCTTGAAGAAATAAAACAGAGGCAACCTTTTACTGGGACTTTTCTGTACGTAGAGCTTAATTAAATAATAAGATTATCCTGGGTGGCTAACCCTTCGGGGTTAAAAAATCCGAAGAAAATCTTATCTTAATAACATCCTAACAACTAACATCCTGTTAGTTGTTAGTTGTTAGCTGTCGGTATTTTATACCATTTTATTGTTCAATCTGTCAGACACTGCAACACAAGGGTATCTTGGTAAAATTTTTTGTACCTAACAACCTGTCGGTATTTTATACCATTTTATTGTTCAACTAACATCCTACATAGAGCGAAACGTTGTTAGCGATGGTTTTGTTTCTTGTTTTTATGCAGATAGGTTCGTATGTATTATAGTATCTCGGGTAAATTTGTAGATGAATAGTTCAGAGAACCGACATGTTGATAAATTAGACACATGTGCAACTCTTGGGGTATCTTTATTGAGGAAACGTTTCTCCACACAGTGGCTTCATCAGTCCGCTCATATGCGGTATTCTACTCAAGATTGATGGACTGAACACATTTACTCAATGTTGAGGGACTGATTACCTCATTCTCCTCCTGTTCTTCAAGTTTCTCCTACGTATGGACTGATGAAGCCACTGTGTGGCGAAACGTTTCCTCAATAAAGATACCCAAGAGTTGCACATGTGTCTAATTTATCAATATCTCGGGTAAATATTGATTTTAATAAAGGCTTAATCTGTCTGTATGTCTTTGATATATTACTGACTACCTGTCTTGTATTGCGCGTAGTGTTACCAGGAGTAATACTAATAGGTTGTGTTGCACAGGTCCAGCCAGCGTGCGGATGGTGTCGACCAACTCGTCACCGCCCATCCCACTACCTGTGCAGGTGCCGCCAGGACACGTCGTGCAGCAGATCGTTGACGAAACTGGCACCCTCAGACACGTCATCCTCTCTGCCCAGCCCGTGCCCATGCCCATGTGCCCCTACGTGAGTACCAGCCTCCCTGTTTAACAGCTTTAGTATTTACTCATGAGTTTGTTCCCTTACGTCAGTAAATGAGTTTGCAGATTCAAATTCACGAAGAGTGAAATCCGATTGAAAATGTCTTCGTTGTTGAACAGGATTGAAAGAGAAGTCATAAAACCCATATAAAGGTCATGAAAAACCACGCATTTGGGTTTAGCTCTTAGATTATGATAATTAAGCTCGTGAAATGATAAGTACTGCAACATATACTGTACGAATTCGTAAGGTAAATCCTTCGTGCGTACGAAAGACGTTCGAAATTCATTGATTAAAAGGACATATTTTAGAATAAAGTATTTTTTCTTCTAATTTTAAGTATGTATCGGCCTCCAGTAAATTGAAAAAAAAAAAACTGAGTAAATTCAACATACTAAGAGTCAGCAATATTTGAAGATGTTAGGTTTCTTTGCAAGTATCTTCACCAGGTGACGGATTGAACATTAAAATGGTATAAAATACCGACAGATTGTTAGGTAAGACACATATGCAACAGTTAGGTATCTTTATTTCGAAACGTTTCGCCTACACAGTAGGCTTCTTCAGTCGAGTACAGAAAAGTTGTAATAAAGTTGGTAGAATTACCGACAATATGTAAAGTAAAAGGACACAAGTGCAACATTAGTTGCGTTAGTTGCACTTCCAAAGTTTGAAACAATGCTCTTCTCCAGACTGAGGGACTGACCACCTCAAAACTTTAAGGGTGATGGACTGATTACATCGTCTTCAGGTAAGACACATATGCAACAGTTAGGTATCTTTATTTTGAAACGTTTCGCCTACACAGTAGGCTTCTTCAGTCGAGTACAGAAAAGTTGATAGAAGCAGAAGATACTTGAAGACGATGTAATCAGTCCATCACCCTTAAAGTTTTGAGGTGGTCAGTCCCTCAGTCTGGAGAAGAGCATTGTTCCGTTGTCTGAAACAATACTATTGTTTCAGACAAGACAAGACAGACTGAGGGACTGACCACCTCAAAACTTTAAGGGTGATGGACTGATTACATCGTCTTCAAGTATCTTCTGCTTCTATCAACTTTTCTGTACTCGACTGAAGAAGCCTACTGTGTAGGCGAAACGTTTCAAAATAAAGATACCTAACTGTTGCATATGTGTCTTACCTAACAATCTGTCGGTATTTTATACCATTTTAATGTTCACATCGTCTTCAAGTCTCTTCTGCTTCTATCAACTTTTCTGTACTCGACTGAAGAAGCCTACTGTGTAGGCGAAACGTTTCGAAATAAAGATACCTAACTGTTGCATGTGTGTCTTGCCTAACAAGGTGCCAGATCAACCAGGCTGTGATGGACATGTGGGGCAGCGGGCCTCCAGCAGCAACAGCCTGGTTTACCAGGCAAGCACCAGACGAGCCTGGCCCATGGCCGGGCTCAGAGAGCAGATAAACTCTCGAAACTCTTCAAAGGTATATCAAAGGTAAGTTAGCAATAGTTTGAGAGGTTGTAATCACGAAGAAGCATACACAGATTACCGGGTGTGAGGCATTACTGAACGACATGTGAGAGTTGAACTCGTTTTTTTTTATAGACAGCTTGAACTCGTGTGATGTAGCACAGCCGGAAGTACAGTGAAAGCGTATTATAACAAGTTACGATGAACATCAAAATGGTATACAATACCGACAGGTTGTTAGGTAAGACACATATGCAACAGTTAGACAACTTTATTCCGAAACGTTTCGCCTACACAGTAGGCTTCTTCAGTCGAATACAGAAAATAGGCAGGAACAGTAGAGATGTGAAGACGATGTAATCAGTCCATCACCCTTGTAGTCGTAGAATTTGAGGTTGTCAGTCCCTCGGCCTGGAGAAGTTCAGTTCCATAGTCAGGAACTATCTGAAGATCAAGCGACAGTGCGGAGACTTAAATACTGTCGGAAGGAGAGGTGCAGAGTAGTAGTAGTAGTAGTAGTAGTAGTGAGAATGTAACCACTGAAAGGTCATGTCCCTCTCAGATCTAACACTTCTCACTTGAAAAGCTTGTCCAAGGTGTTTTCTGTACCAAGATGCCATGTGTTGCAGTTTCTGACAAGATGAACATCAAAATGGTATACAATACCGACAGGTTGTTAGGTAAGACACATATGCAACAGTTAGACAACTTTATTCCGAAACGTTTCGCCTACACAGTAGGCTTCTTCAGTCGAATACAGAAAATAGGCAGGAACAGTAGAGATGTGAAGACGATGTAATCAGTCCATCACCCTTGTAGTCGTAGAATTTGAGGTTGTCAGTCCCTCGGCCTGGAGAAGTTCAGTTCCATAGTCAGGAACTATCTGAAGATCAAGCGACAGTGCGGAGACTTAAATACTGTCGGAAGGAGAGGTGCAGAGTAGTAGTAGTACACCTGGTGGCGGTGTCATGGTTAATAATAGCGGAGCTGTCCACACGATGAACAGTCTTCCTAGTGGGGTGATAGAGGCTAGGACCTTGGGTAGCTTTAAGAAGAGACTGGACAAATATATGAGTGGGAGGGGCTGGGTTTGATTGGTGTCATGGGGTACGGGAGTTATTTCTTGGGAAGCTTTAGGTAGATGTCGTTTTGATAAGGACCTGCCTCGTATGGGCCAGTAGGCCTTCTGCAGTGTGTTAGGTAAGACACATATGCAACAGTTAGGTATCTTTATTGTGAAACGTTTCGCCTACACAGTAGGCTTCTTCAGTCAAGTACAGAAAAGTTGATAGAAGCAGAAGATACTTGAAGACGATGTAATCAGTCCATCACCCTTAAAGTTTTGAGGTGGTCAGTCCCTCAGTCTGGAGAAGAGCATTGTTCCATAGGGTGATGGACTGATTACATCGTCTTCAAGTATCTTCTGCTTCTATCAACTTTTCTGTACTTGACTGAAGAAGCCTACTGTGTAGGCGAAACGTTTCACAATAAAGATACCTAACTGTTGCATATGTGTCTTACCTAACAACCTGTCGGTATTTTATACCATTTTAATGTTCTTCTGCAGTGTTCCTACATTCTTATGTTATGTTCTGATGGCAGATCAAATACCACCAAGGAGAAGTATGGCGAGTCCAGTGATGATAATGAACAACCTGGTTAAGTGAACGTGTTGTGTTGCTTAGTGTTGCACGAAGGCTGGTCTGGGGTGGGGTGGGGGGGCTCTTCTTGACAACAGCAACACTAGCTTTATCTCACAAGTAACTTGGAAATAAATGGTATTAAATACCGGCACAGTGGAAATATAAACACATATGCAGTATAATGTGATCCTTTATTGACAACGTGTGTGTGACTTGAAAAAGCCCACTGTGTGGGTGAAACGTTGTCAATAAAGGATCACATTATACTGCATATGTGTTTATATTCTCACAAGTAACTTGCTCTTCACAGTACTTGCGTGAAAGTTTTCACACAGTTTTTCCTACTACGCTCATTGGGGCATCAGTCACACATACCACGCCCTGAGTCACCTGTTGCCAGATGCTCTTGTTGACCCGCCAAACACCAAACAAGCCTGGCCCATGGCCGGGCTTCGAGAGTAGAAAAAAACTCGTAGCTCATCAAAGGTATCTGTGTACCTTTGATATGAACATTAAAATGGTATAAAATACCGACAGGTTGTTAGGTAAGACACATATGCAACAGTTAGGTATCTTTATTATGAAACGTTTCGCCTACACAGTAGGCTTCTTCAGTCAAGTACAGAAAAGTTGATAGAAGCAGAAGATACTTGAAGACGATGTAATCAGTCCATCACCCTTAAAGTTTTGAGGTGGTCAGTCCCTCAGTCTTGAGAAGAGCATTGTTCCAAAGTATGAAACAATATGGAGAAGAAGTGACAGGATGAAGCTTTTATAGCGCCAAGAGGTGAGACGTAGGCCACTAGGAGAGGTAAGAACTCAGATGTTGACAGGTCAGGTCCCTCCAGTTTCATACTTTGGAACAATGCTCTTCTCAAGACTGAGGGACTGACCACCTCAAAACTTTAAGGGTGATGGACTGATTACATCGTCTTCAAGTATCTTCTGCTTCTATCAACTTTTCTGTACTTGACTGAAGAAGCCTACTGTGTAGGCGAAACGTTTCATAATAAAGATACCTAACTGTTGCATATGTGTCTTACCTAACAACCTGTCGGTATTTTATACCATTTTAATGTTCAATCTGTCAGACACTGCAACACAAGGGTATCTTGGTACAGACCTGCAATCAACTTCGACAACTTCCACTAGTGAGAGGGGCTGGATTTGAGAGGGACCTGACCTGTCAACATCTGAGTTCTTACCTCTCCTAGTGGCCTACGTCTCACCTCTTGGCGCTATAAAAGCTTCATCCTGTCACTTCTTCTCCATATTGTTTCATACTTTGGAACAATGCTCTTCTCAAGACTGAGGGACTGACCACCTCAAAACTTTAAGGGTGATGGACTGATTACATCGTCTTCAAGTATCTTCTGCTTCTATCAACTTTTCTGTACTTGACTGAAGAAGCCTACTGTGTAGGCGAAACGTTTCATAATAAAGATACCTAACTGTTGCATATGTGTCTTACCTAACAACCTTTGATATACCTAGAAACCATATTTTAACAGTTTGCCTTTGACTTACGCCTTTTCTTCTTTGTTTTTTTTTTTTAATTACTGAGGTGCCCGTAGGGACCTCAAGGAACTTAGTGGAATCTTTTGGCGTTGATAAGTTTGTGGATTTCTTTTTTTTTTGGGGCCGATGCTGGCTATAACTTGGTATGTGAGTATTTATTTGTGTTGAATATTTATTCTCGTTGCTTTTATTTGTTGATTTTATTCTTATTTTTATTGTGAGTTCTGACTTAAGAGGTCAAAGTGCTCCGTAAAAGTCATAACTACATTAATTGTGGCAGTGATGTTTAGTCAAGGATAGAGGCAGGAGCCATGAGTTTCCATTGACAGTGTTCCAGGGTGTCTCCGCTTTCCAGGTGAGGGGAGTCAGGCAGGGTGACTCCGCTTTCCAG